ATAACCACACACCACACACACACACACACACACACACACACACACACACACAACACACACACACACATATATATAATATATATATATATATATATACGGTTTGCCATGATCGCAGGAATGGGCGGCGAAGCAGGTGGCGTGGACGGAGGCTGTCCGCCCGCGAAGCTGAAATATCGGGCTGGCCACCTACGGCCGTAGCTTCACATGTCCTCCTTTGACTGGGAGCACGACATCGGCGACCCGGCGAGGCGCCGGCAAGGCCGGACGATTCACGGCCGAGGACGGGTTACCTCTCCTATTACGAGGTAACGAACTTGCGCGCGCTAGGGGGAGGGTTGTTGCTTAGAATCGTAACTGACCCTAGCGTTAGGGTTAGTAGCCATAAGGATAGCGCTAGTCCTAACGTCTCCTTCTAAACGGCTAGTAAAACAATGTTTAATCCTAGGGTTAGTTCTAGTTTTAACATCACGCTCTAAAGTGTTGTCGTTCTAAATCGTTGGTCCTGCTTCCAACTTAATTATCTTTTACATCGTTTGGTTAAAACAATGTTTACTCCTAAAGGCTAGTCCTAGTTCTAACCTCTCGTTCTAAAGCGTTTGTGAGCAAGATAATAACGTTATTCTGACTAGTACTATGCCACAATTCAAATAAAACTTATATCACGTGGATCAGACAATAACCCGAGGCCATGTCCGACATTTTATTCGCGAGTAGCGCTTCGATGACTTTCGGCAGGGGTACGACGAATAGCCAATATGAATATATATATATATATATATATATATATTATATATATATATGTGTGTGTGTGCCAGTGTGCGTGCGTGCACGTGCGTGCGTGCGTGCGTGCGTCGTGTGTGCGTGTGCGTGCGCCGGTGCTGTGTGTGGTGTGCGTATGCTGCGTGTGTGGTGTGTGTGTGTTGTGTGTGTGTGTGTGTGTGCGTGTGTGTGTGTGCGCGCACGCGCGTGTGTGTACGTATGTAGAGAGGAGAGAGAGAGGGCGGGACAGGAAAGCGGAGATCTATAGAAATATGTCTATTATTTATGTACGCCTGGTGATAATACTATGAGCGTATTACGTACTCCTGATTACTAGGAGGGATTATCTCGGGCGATATATGTTGTGCTTATAGTTGAGTGCTGGCGCGGGCGATTTATCATGCGCCGCTGTTATTAAACGGCGTCCAGTCTAACGCAGCGCGCTAGTCGTGTGAGAATTGATAATTTGAGGCAGCCGGCAGTTATAATTTTACTGTTGCTCGGTATAGTGCAACTTACAGGAGAACGCCATCTTTCACAATTAGCCGCACAGATTACTTATTACGTTACAAGAATAATAGTATTACGCTCTTACTTATTGAACTTGCGAACTGCAACCCATATCTATTCTTCTTCTTCTTCTTCTTCTTCTTCTTCCCATCCTTCTTTTTCTTCTTCTTCTTCTTCCTCATTTTTCTTCTGCGGCGGCGGGGTGGTTCCGTGCGCAAAAACCTTGAGGGAAAGAAATTAATCCATTTCCACCTCAGCAGCCCGCTATGCGAGCATGAAAAACATCTCCTGGCCGGCACCAAGAGGCGACCCGGAATGGGCCAGGCATGACGAGATGGCGCAGCCGGCAAGCTTTTGATTTCTTATTATTTTTTACTGTTTGGGATGGGATGGGACGAGATGGGATGGCATGGCATGGGATGGCATGCGATGGCATGTGATGGGATGGGACGGCATGGCATGGAATGGCATGGCATGGAATGGCATGGGATGGGATGAGATGGAATGGGTGCGATAGGATGGGATGGGATGGGATGGCATGGGATGGGATGGGATGACATGGGATGGCATGGCATGGCATGGCATGGCATGGGATGGCATGGCATGGCATGGCATGGAATGGGATGGGATGGGATATGGGATGGGATGGGATGGGACGCGGTGCGATGGGATGGGATGGAATGGGATGGATGCATGCATGCATGGATAGATAGATAGTTAGATTTTTTGAGTATTTTCCTTTCAACCAAGCGGTCACCAACTGAGTACCGCCACTGGACAACGCCGGGTATCCCGCTAGTCTACGATATATTTCTCAATTATAAAGAGTCTGTTCATAAGACACAATATCACGGATGATTAAATGCAAAATATGCTGCAATAATAGCCATCATCAAACACACATTTTTCAACTACAAAGAGTTTGTTCATAAGAGACGCTGCACTGATTCTTACAGGTAAAAACCCGCTGCTGACGACGATTAAGAACGGACTACCGGCCGTGTACGAACTAGACGGCTACGTCGACCCTGATGAAGAACGTACGTGCACTACCCACTTACCACTGTGTTCTGTTGAAGATATGTTGATGATTACGTTCTCATATTATTCACACAGACGCGCGTGCGCGCGCGCACACACACGCACACACGCGGCAGCGCGCACTACAGCACGCACGCACGCACACACACACCACACGCACACATACACACACAGACACACTCACACACACACATCCACACACACACACACACACACACACACATCACACATCACACACAACACACATACAACAGCACACGCCAATACGCCGACACGCATCCACAGCACGCGAGTACATACATACATACATACACACACACACAACATCACACACGCGCGCGCAGCACACAACCACACCACACACACACACACCACAGCACACACACACACACACACACACACACACACACACACACACACACATTATATATGAGTATATGTATATATATATGAATATATATAGCGCTTATTATTTATTTATTATTATTTTTGTTTATTATTATATATATATATAAAAAAACACACACACACCACGGCAGCGCCACACGAACGCAGCACGCGCACGCACGCCGCACGCACGACCACACACGCTCACGCCACACACATACAAACTATATTATTATATAAACAGAAGTATATAAGACGTTGGTGGGGGAAAAGCAATTCGCAGACGGCCGCGAGAGTAACCTTAAGGCGACCAATAATTCCCTCTATATCACGCCCCTGATATATATTAAATCAAATTGAATTTATCAAAATCTCATTGAATGCACACACAGCGGAATGAGGCGTATGGCTCGTGTCTATAATCGCTACTACTAAACGTAGCTTCTAAAGTGATATTAAAGCAGCGCAATAATAAAATCATATAACGCAATAAATATATCAAGCCCCTCCGCCAATACTCACATCTATGCACATCCGCCTCTATAGCAGAGACATCAGCGCGCTCGAATAAACACACTGACAGTTTTTATCGAGAGTGACGTTTGTTTAATTTAATCGACTGTACGTCTACTTTAATTGGATGCATCCGTCCGCATCACCTTACAGCTCGAACTAACGAGCTTACAGTTTCATCATATAGGATTCCGTTGCTGCGCGTACGTACATCACATCACATGTATATAGTTTCGCTGAGAGGGTCTATGTCCCCCAGGGTACTGCCGGAACGTACCCTGGGTACGGTCCGGTATACCGGTACGTACCCTGGTTCTATTTAATATGCCGGACCGTACATCGCCTACTCCACTAACGAGTCTAGGGAGTCGCCTACGCCTACTCCCTAACCCTAACCATAACCCTAACCAATCAATATCAAATAGTTACCAGGGTACGTTCCGGTATACCGGACCGTACCCGGGGTACGTTCCAGCAGTACCCTGGGGGACATAGACCCTATGAGCTATAGTATCGCTCCAGCCATTAGCTTCTCCTGTTGCTCCTCTATTCGAGAACCTGCCAGGGCAATCTACAATGAAAAAATGGCGCCGTGGGTTTCTAAGGGACTAAGGGACATAGGCACTTCATCCGTCGCGGGGTTATAAATTACACATGTATATGCTCGTAGCCTGCATGCCGGCCAATTAATTCTGGCGCATAGGCGCTACCCGGTAACAGTATAGGCCCTAAACTATGTTAAAGACCTTACGGTACACGTACACCAAATACCATGCTATAGATAGGTTTTATGGTATTCTACAGATACACTATGAGTCGTGATTGTTCACGGTAGAGGAATATGCGGCGTATGTTTAACGTGTTCGAAGATAAATATTTTTTACCCAATCAGAGGGCAGTCAGCGGCATTGTCACACGTAATTTAACCGCAGTTAAATTCATCGTCGCCCAATCATGAGCCGGTATGCGTACTTTATATTAATTTAACCGCGACTGAACTCATGAATCCTGAATACGATGGTCAACCCTACGCAACATGAGTGATGACAGACCTCGCGAGCAGGCGTGTAGGTACGACGGCGTGGCCATCCACGAGGAAGTACCCCCACCCCTCCAAGTGCGCGTAACTTTCACGATAATAAATAATAATGATAATGATAATAATAATAAATATTTGTCAATACTAAATGCAGTACGTGTCAATTGACATTATTAGACAATCGTTTTCGTGCGCGCGCATTCAAAAAAACTAAATCGGTTCTTGTTTCTTTGTTCGCTTTAATCCTCGCAGATAAACCAGATGGATTTTACACAGACGAGAAGGATCCGACGAAATACTTGAACATTTCCGATGGCATCGTATACGAGGTACAGTGCCCGCCCGGTCTGGTGTGGAACCAGGAGAAACGGCAATGCGACTGGCCCCAGGCGCAAAATGCTAATCCGAATTAACACGATACGTCGACTTAGCTACAAGAAAGATGGAGATCTCAAGAGAGATCAAGCCGAAGCTGAAATATAGTACATCTGCATCAAAACATGACTGAACTAGTAGATCTAAACCAGACGATATTTGATACTAGAAGATATATGAACCAGATCGAGGTTATGTGATACTAAAACCGTCCTTTCTACTAAGATTTCCTTCTTTCCGTGGAACATTTTGAGTTTCGCGCTGAATTAACTATTTCGCACAGCGTCCCCTTTTTTTAGTCAGACCCGGATCGGAGAATCTCTGATCACGTACGCCTCTTTTTCGCATATCGTTTACATGTTTTACCGACGTTTGTGCTCATTATCTTCTAACACAGAGAACAATAACGTTACCATACTGTGTTTATGCCGTCGTAGACTAAATGAAAATGTGTGCGTGCGTGCGTGCGTGCGTACGTGTGTGTGTGTGTGTGTGTGTGTGTGTGTGTGTGTGTGTGTGTGTGTGTGTGTGTGCACGTGAATAAAGGTTTTTTCGTTAGTAAAAAAAATCGGATTAGGATCCGATTTTTGAATCTCAATTAAGGTCCTATCTACTTTTACCAAGTGCCAGTATTACTATAATAGCATTATCGAGTATTGATCCTGCGTAACCCTACGTCGAGTGTTGACTGAAGAAATAACGAGTCAAGTTGCGCCTGAAATTGTTTAGAAGATTTGAAAATGCTCATCTGTTACCGTTTGTATGCCGTGTGACGTGTATGTACGCGATGCAATATCCCACTAACCTTAACACGCGGCGTGATATGGCACGCCACTAAATACGAGACGCCAAAATATACTATCGCTGTATACACTACCGTGATAGATTTGTGGCAACACGCCCATGTACCACACCATTGTCGTACACACATGTCGTGGACGCCACGCGAGTAGATTACATAGCGTTTATTACGCGAATATATAGCAAAACGCATATCATGATCAGCACTGTTAATCCGGTCTTTCGTATTTGTTTCGTGTAGCTATATGCGAATTTATATAGTCTATACCTATAGTCTGTGGTTCGTGTGGATCTGTGCTAGTGGCCTCGTATAGAAGACGATGGGGGAGAACGACGGGTTCAAGCAAATGAGAGCAATACGTGAATTTGGATCGCCATCATACAAGTGTTTTAACATCAAGTGCAGAATTACAAGTGTAATTCACAAAATTAAATTACGAATGAATCAATACCTCAATTTATTATTAAACAAGTAACGTGTTATAAATCAAAAAACGAAACGCGCTGCGAGTTTTGTACGGTGCGATCGCTACATGCGCGTTTTAAAAATAACTACCTCAAGTTTGAATACCTACAACAGACACTGAGAGAGCACTCGCGTCTGCTACTCTTAGCAGACGAGCCGATTCAAGGTTACTGCGAGGTCAGGCTTAACCGGCTTATCAAAGTGCTAATCCTTCTAAACATTATAAGCTTCTTCGTGCGGACTTTTTCACTTTTCCTACGACATCGATTTAAACAACGAATTAACAGCTGGAAATCGTATCTGTCTCGCGTTTGCCCTCTATCTCTCTCTCTCTCTCTCTCGCGTTTGCCCTCCATCTCTCTCTCTCTCTCTCTCTCTCTCTCTCTCTCTCTCTCTCTCTCTCTCACATTCATTCTCTGTCACGCTGCTCTCTCTCGCACACTCTTTCCAAGTTCGGAATATATTCCGACACATACTGAGAGCCAACTAAAAATCGACATCTCATCTCATCAACAGCAATAAACGCAAACTAAACACGGGCGATTTATTGCGCAACAAATTATCCATTTTTATTAGGAAATCATCATATCAACGGCTCATATCCTTGCACCAGACTAGTAGCATCGAAACCATGTCTCGTGTATAATATATGTGACTTTATAAGCAATATCATCGGTATGTAAATCCACGTCCTAACCTCGCAAGCACATGATCAAGTCAGCGAGGTGCAGAAGGCAATCAGAACGAGTTTCTAAGCTCAACATTTTGGCCGACTGCCAACAAATTGACGCGCGGAGAGCTCAGAAACGCGTTATCCGCAACACACAGTATAAATCATCTCACAAAAAATATCGGAATTCACTATTCGACCCGCAACGCCCGTCACCCGTTCACCGCCGCTGCCCGACGGTGGTGCACTCTCACTCGATGTGCTCGGTCTCGCGGAGGAGCCACTGTAGCGCCTCGGTGCGGCCCTGCTGCTTCAACACGGGCGCCACCACCTCCCTGCAGCGCGCGTGGTAGCGGTTCAACCAGGCCATCTACAAGCACAAACACACACACACACAGAGAACCATGAGCCCATTACCCATAATAGCATGAATATATGCATGCAATACTGTATACATATACATATTTATAAACTTTGCAGATGTGTTCCTGGCAATAGTAATAGTAGTAAAAGCAATAGTCTCGATGCAATAGCACTCATTATACTTATTATAGCACGCATGCAGCAGCAGACACTGAGGTAGCAATTTTTTCAATCTATTTTTGGTACAGTAATAGAATCCTAATTGTAACGTAGTAAAGAATCTCAACTGGCTTTAGATATAATGCCCTGCCATTAATTATAGTAGCACTACCTATAAAGCAAAAAAATGCAATCTTTTCATGCGATCCTTCCCCGGTCGGTACTTCCAATCTACACCCCCCTTTGTCGCAAAAATTCCTAGACCGTTTACCTACCCCTTTTCAAACCGTAAATATATTTTAGAACACCCCCCCCCCCTTTTTCACCACACCCCGGGCTCGTAAAACGCTGTGGAGTGGCGCCGGGAGATGGGGGGGGGGTCGGCAGTGAGGGGGTCGTAAGACCTACCTCCTGCTGCGTGAAGATGGTTCTATCGATCAGCTTCGTCTGTATTGGCACCAGCGTGATCGGTTCGTAGGTGAGGAAGTCCTTGCCGTGGAAACGATGCTGAAAGTAGACGAGAATAGACAGAGAGCCCCCGTGAGACACGCTAGCCACGCCGCCAATATAGAGTCGTGAGAGGGGGGCCTATATATATATATATATATATAGCGACAGTATACGCACACACATACGCACGCACGCACGCACACACACACATATAATATATATATATATATATATATATATCAGTGCTGCCACTCAGGATATTACAAAAACAGTATAAAGTCTGTTCAGAAAAAAGTAAACAAGCTACAGGAATGATGTGTGCAATGCCATGAGGCGTTGTCTCTTGAACCCTCGGTCTAGAATATTGCGCATTGCTCATTTGACATTTGGTCACTGACAGCAGAGAGCTGAGAGCAAAAACACTCCACTGAACAGAGCACACATCACTCCTGCAACAAGACTAGCAAAGCACATCTTTCATCTCCTCAAATACAGTGTACCTAAATGTAAGTTCGAAAAGTAGATGTATAATGTCGCTCGGTCAGAAACCCGGGAGAAAGCTGACACGCTGTCGTCTTTCAGTTGGCCCGTGTGTGATATAGCGTACAGTGACGTCATGTCACATGCGGGCAAAGACCGTATGCATGCATGTATTGTCTTCCCACACGATCGTCCATCGCCGATCTCTCACTCTCCCCACGCAGCCTCCAACGCTACACTTATTATTTATTGGTTTGTTATTGTGTTGTTTACTCAGTGTTATTTATAGATGGGTATGAAGGCTCTACCCGAGTCAGCATTTACGCTTATGTTTGGCCTTTCTTTCGCAGTTAGGAGTTATTGGTGGTACAATTAAGAATTCATTTTGCAAAATGTTTATTTTACTTTTACTGATTCCTCGGAACAGCCGGCTGGGGGAGTAGGGCTATAAGTAGGCCATATAAGCCATTACTAAACGCAAAACCACTGGCTTCTTCTTCTTATATATAAAACAATTAACCCGTTTTAGAGCTAATCTTAAGCGACAGACATTTCCTGAGAGGCATATTTGCGATATCTTTAGAGACACGAGATAAGCGGAAAGAACCAGCTGTGCATAACGGCTCGCCACACATCATCTGTAGATGGCCCGCGGCTATGCAAGTCTCCCCCCCCCACCACCACCAAAAAGCATAAAGTGACATATACGCCCGGTAACGCTTTCACTAACGTGTACTACACTAACGCACACTAAGAGCACAGCAATATGCACACCTTACACGTCACAGCGAAAAGAACAGAACTCAAACTTAAACACACACGTAAAAGTGAATAACGCTCGGATATGTTAAACAACGACAAATCAACAGATGTAGAAATTCCCGACGATGTGCAAAATGATGACGTATCTCTCTATCAGACCAAACCACCTTGGCGATTTGCGCGCCCCTGCGAAAAGTAGGCTCTGAAACGCTTGCAAATTCCAACGGCTCGCGCGCAGCCCTAGGCAACGCATACACACTCAGCTTTCCCCCACTCTAGAAAACAAACACGCGAAACGTTCTTCAGATGTCGGGATACTGGATACGCCTGCCCAGGCTCGCATGCGCGCTAGATAATGGTTATACATTTTCTATGATTAGCCATGCAATAAAGGGAACCGGAAGAGAAGGGAAGGGAACAGAAAGCAAGGGGAGTGAGCGGATGGGAAGGGAAGGTGAGGGAAAGTAAGGGAAGCTATCGCGTGTGTGTACGGGCTTACCGCTGTCTCTGCTATCACAACGAGGCACACGTTCTCGATCCGGCAGCCAAACAGCCCATCTTCGTAGTAACCCGGTTCTGCAATACCACGAAACACGCACACGCACACACGTCACCAGATAAATCCCAGAACAAGTTAATACGACGTCATGTAGAAAAATGTTTGAGGAGTAATGGATTAGCGCTGCAGTTATCAGGATAATATTAGGGACAATTTTTGACAAAAAAAAACACTAGACCTGTTGTCGGAACCGCTGCTAACTGGTTTCTTACACGGATTTATGACAAAATGAGATTACTATTAACAATATCTGACAGCATACGTCAGAAATAAATACCGTGCACCAGCAGCACCGGTACACACAGACATGTGCTCGCACGCGTTACACCACAAACACTATCGAAATAGTGTGATGCTATATTTTTGGTTTCGTTGGAACGCGTAGAAAGTCGCACAATCAGGAGATCATGAACACGTATCTATGCATTCAGAAGTAAAGGAAACAATTATATAACATAACTTTAGCAGTACGAATGTTCGAAAATGCATAACGCTTGCATTGCATATAATTATTACTGTGTCAGTGGAAAGCTTGTGTTGGCTGGAAGACAATACTACTGTACAGGTTGTAAGATGTGCTGTCAAAGAAGACTTTACTATTGTGCTAGCTGTAAGATTTTGTTGAGGGGAGACTTTACTACTGTGCTAGCTGTAAGATTGTAAGATTGTGCTGAGGGGAGGAGACTTTACTACTATGCTAGCTGTAAGATTGTAAGATTGTGTTGGGGGAAACTTTGCTACTGTGCTGGTTGTAAGATAGTAAGATCGTACTGTGGTGTGGGGACTTTACTACTATGGTGGCTATAAGATTATAAGCCTGTGCTGGGGTGGGGTGGTGGGGGTATGTTACTACTGCGCTAGCTGTAAAATTGTAAGACTAGGCTGGGGTGGGGGACTTTACTACTGTGCAATTTCTAAGACCATGCAGGGGGAGAATACTGTGCTAGCTGTAAGATTGTGCAGGAGTGAAGTCTACTAATGTGTTTACTGTAGGTTTGTGTTGGGTGAAGACTACACTGCTGTGCAAGTTGTAAGCTTGTGCTGGAGGGGGAGGGGACTGCTGTGCTGGCTGTCACTGCTTCCCAGGTTTTCCTATCATGCACGTGTCTGCGTGTGCAATGTTGCCAAGCTGCTACGTATATCCTACCTATGGTCACCACCATGTGCTCTTCCAGTCCCACCTCCGTCGGCCGAGTCCTGAAGCTAATGTACTGCGGGCCTGCGTAAACACGAACACGATTACAGCGCCACCTATGTGCAACACAAAGCGGCCAGCGGGCATCGCATACACACCTATCGTGATTGTCATGTCGCCGCGAGTGCCGATTCCGTCCGGGCTGCTGTTGTGCTTCGATATCGGAGCTGAAAGCAGTGACGGCTAGCTTGGTAGCAAACGGCATGCGCGCTTTGCGACAACCCTGCCTCATTCACCACGTGCGGTCCTACGTGAGCCCTCTTGTCCAAGTTTTCAATTATTGGCTCGTTGCCCACATCAAGCCTTGCACTTATTCTCGAATGTTTCCGGACAGGTACAACCACGAGCAAACTCCACGACAGATGGCGCTCTCGCTCATGGGCTCAATCTACCACTGCCACAAGCAGATTTCCGTTACAATTTGTTTTACAGCAGCCAGGTTACTTGTATCCTATGTAAAAAGATTTGGACTAATAAAAGTTGCAAAGATTTTAAAAATCCAACCATTATTTTATGAAAAATTTGATAAAATAGTGATACGAAATAGTGCGCGTATTGTGAGCCCATTTACTACTTTCAAATCATGCGCTGTTTACGAATCTCCATTCGCTGGATTTTCCCGGAGCTCCGCCCACTTTAAAAATAGTGCTAGCATTGTGGCAGTGGTATCCTGAGTGTACGAAGGTGCACTGCATGCAGTTTGAACCACAAGTACATGGTGGAGGAATCCAACTATCATGCACTACTGGTACTATACAACGTAGTTATGTAGTTGTTCACAACAGGTTTCCATGGAGCAAAAGGTTACATGTTGTGAGAGCTACAAGTACGATGCCATCCGCACTTTCTCTCGTGGTCTTCGATTAAGTGTTATTACTTATTACTGACAAACATTTCTGCCATGTGGCATTTGATACTGAATGCATGAGGATTGCTGAGGGATAATTCACGAGGAATCACAAAAACTTTTGATGCACTCACGGATTTAAGAAGTGTAAGTAGATTTAAGAATAAGAAAGAAAACAGAGAAAGAGATAGCAAACAGTATTGAGTCTCTTATGACAGGGATAGGACAGGGATAAGCTCTCTTAGGACAACATACATTGCTACAACTGTGTATTCACCACACGCACGCAAATGCACACACGCACGCACGCACATGCACACACGCACATGCACGTACACACGCACGCATGCACGAATGAACGCACACACACATATTCTGTATATAGAATATATAGAATTTACTTTGTTTAATTTTTGCTCCACACATTCTGTTTGTCCAATATTGGTTTATGACGGTGAAAACCCGCAGGAAGAATAACAAAAAACAAGAAGAACATGAGCATTTATGTAATTGCAGCCACCTAGAAACAAACACCGTAAATTGCAGTGATTCGATGAGAAGACACTGCAATACATTAGATTAGATTACATCAGAATAGAGGCCAGCAGAGAGTTTTGCACAAAGAGAACATGTGCACACACACACACACATGATAAACTAACGCCAGGGGGCGCCCTGTCCCACAAGCGACAGTTAAAGAGAGCGGTAGCAGATGCGCGGGCAGCGGCCATAATAAACTTTGACCGACCTTCGTGAACGTTGAGGAATGCACCGACTCCATGTCCGGTGCCGTGCATGTAGTCCAACCCCACGTCCCACAATGCCTTCCGCGCGTTACAGTCGATCACATGACCTACACAGAAACAGGAGATGAGTTTGCATGGTGATCGGTCGATGGATGTTTTTGCACTCACTGACACATGCTGCTCACTTAATGTGTAATAAACAGATTTAATGGTGGCAAGAGTCTTGGTATTTAATGTTTACCTTTGGTTCCAGAAGGAAAGATTAGGGAATCAAGAGCAATGTGTCCTTTCAATACTCTTGTATAGCATTCCTGTGATTTAATAAACATAAAAAGTGCAGTTACACAGTAAAACCACAAATTAATTCATCACAATAGCAATATTTCAGAAACCGTAAATGGACAATAAAAATGGAGAAAAAAAATGAATAAACGAGAATAATTCAACCCCTACTCATGTGCACATGTGGACACTACAGTGTGACGTTTATGTGAAGCATACAGACTAGTATGTACTAAGACCATCATGAGTCGTACCAGCAAACACAAAATGTGAATTTATAATAGCGTTTTAGAGATCGTGAGTTGAGCTTGAATGGCAGACGTACCATCTCCAGCTGTGATGGCTCGCCAAAGTGCATGGTGCGCGTAACGTCTGTCGTTCCATCTCTGTAAATAACACAGGGAACGACATTACATATACAGTTCTTCCATTATAGGAGGGGGGAAGAGAGGGAGAAAAGAGAGAGCGAGAAAGAACGAGTGAGGAAGAGAGAGAGAGAGAGAATGAGTGAGGGAGAGAGAGAGAGAGAAAGAGAGAGAGAGAAAGAAAGAGTGAGGCAGAGAGAGAGAGAGAGAGAGAGAGGAAAGAGAAAGAGGGGAAGATGAGAGAGAGTGGAAGAGGGGTGGATGAGACATAGAAAGAGACAGAGGAAATGAGAGAGAAGGAGAACAGGAGAAAGAGACTAAAAGAGTTAAAAAGTGAAACAGAGAAAGAGAGTGGGAGAGGAGTGTGTAACGTGTGATTGCTCGGTGAGCACTCTACCTGTACTGCGCTCCCGAGTCCAGCAGGTATAACTCTTGCATGGTGACAGGTCTGTTAGACGCCTCCGTCGGCTGGTAGTGGATGATGGCGCCATTAGGTCCCGAGCTGCTAATCGTTCCGAAGCTGAGGCTGACAAAGTCCGCCTGCTGGCTGCAAGAAACGCAGACGACGGCCAACAATTAAACTCCACTATGACATCGATATCACCTCGCTGTTCAATGATAGCAGGACAACAGGTACAAGGAGGGAGCCTTTGCTAACGATAGCCTGTGAATACAGACATCTTTTCATATTTCTCTTGAGTAAAATTTATAAAGTGACACCACCACTACGAAACGAATTGCCATCTACGAAGCACGTTTTTAGCGTTTCCCTCGGGTGACCCCTATACACAGGTTTGATTGCATCTATTTACCACCGGAACGGCCTACCCGCGTACCTTCTGAACTGCTCGGCCTTGGCCGAAGCTTTCAGCTCTGTCATCCCTCCTTTTGGCACTTCCTTCTCCAGCCAGGCAAACAGTTCGCAGAGGGCCACCGCATCCTTCACCTACGCAGACGCAGAGAGAGAGAGAGAGAGAGACGGCGCGTTAGCCGGCGCATCCGCGTGGCGTATCCGTGGCAACGCGACGACGTCCAGCACATTCTAGCGCGTCACATCATATGTAACTTCGTGTCTTATAACATCACGTCCTACTACATAATATTATGTCTTATAATGTCACATCATATATGTAACATAGTGTCTTATAACATCACGTCCTACTACATAATATAATGTCTTATAATGTCACATCATATATGTAACATAGTGTCTTATAACACTGCACACTGTCGTTTATCGTGAAATCGAATTGTGTTCCACTCGACATTTAGCGGCTCGAGACGAACAAGATGACGATCAGGAGGTGTGGCCAGCCCACCTCGTCACGCTCTGATTGGCCGACACCAACCACTCGGCGTGACGATTCACGCACCAGCCAACCTCGCTACGAACTCACGTGTGCGTTCTGCATGCCAGCGATCTCCGCAGCGTTCTTCAGTGCCTTCATCAGGGCGATCGGCGATGGATCCGAGATCCGCCGGCGCTGCAATGAGTAGGAGAAGATATTCGCCGCAAGAATGCAAATTCGACGCGGACATTGACTGCCGACACGTACGCTCCGCGAGCGGCGCTGACAAGCTGGGTTACAGTTTCGCGTAGATCTGGTATCGTGGCGATGCGAGAAAACGCACGCGCAATGTCGGACAATCGCGGCCACGATTCTGCAGTTTTTGTCGTAGTCGCGATGCACGGAAATTTCGGGTGCTATTATTGCTATCGCTGCGAACAGATCTGTATAACAGGAGTGAGAATGTGAGATGATGAGCGATTGCCCCTCAATGAATATATGTTTCCTACTATCTTACTCTTGATTGTATAGATGTGACCGCGCTACCTGTAATCACTTAATACAATACGAAGAATGCTAGCCAACTCCGTCACGACAGTAGAGGTGGCGGAAAGGTCGAGAGAGAAAGTTCGGCGATCGTTTCGCAGCGTCGTCACGCAAGATTTCCTGAACAAGATCCCCACACAAAATCCCTGAAGAAATTCCAGAAGCTTTCTACGACGACAATTTCCTCCACCCAAATCTCCCAAAGGAAACTCTGTGATGGTGATTTTTCGGCGAATTTTTTACTCTCCCGTGACCGCGGTGGCACCTCCGGACGTGGCGTCCAACGACTCGCTGGGGCGAGACGTGGGGCTCACCTCGGAGACGAGACATGGAAGCACCCCTCAGGGACGAGACGTGGGGCTTGCCTCAGGGACAAGACGTGGGGCTTGCCTCAGGCACAAAACGCGGGGCTTGCCTCAGAGACGAAATGCGAGGCTTGCCTCAGAGACGAGATGTAGGCTTCACCTCGAGGGCAAGACGCGGGGGCTCACCTCGAGAACTAGACACGGGGCCTCACCTCGGGGATGAGAACGTGGGGCTCGCCTCAGGGACGAGACGCAGGGTTTGCCTCAGAGACAAGATGCGGGGCTTGCTTCGGGGACGAGACATGGAAGCCCCCCTCAGGGACGAGACGTGGGGCTTGCCTCAGGGACGAGACGTGGGGCTCACCTCAGGGACAAGACGTGGGGCTCACCTCAGGGACGAGACGCGGGACTTGCCTCAGGCACAAGACGCGGGGCTTGCCTCAGGCACGAGACGTGGGGCTATCCTCAGGCACGAGATGCGGGGCTTGCATCAGGCACGAGACGCGGGGCTTGCCTCAGGCACGAGACGCGGAGCTTGCCTCAGGCACGAGATGCAGAGCTTTACTCAGGGACGAGACGCGGGGCTTGCCTCAAGCACGAGACGCGGAGCTTGCCTCAGGCACGAGACGTAGGCCTTGCCTCAGGCACGAGACGTGGGGCTCACCTCAGGCACGAGACGCGCGAGGCCGTGACTCGACTGGTCGGGGATCCACACCCTGCCGCTCACGTGCGGTTCGAGGCGGCAGAGGTCGTCGCAGAGGTCGGCGTACGCGTGCAGCGTGACCTTGATATGCTCATCGCTCGTCAGGTGCGCGTGAATCTCCGGCGTGACCTTGGCCTCGTCGACGTAGATGCTGCGAGACGGAGGGAGACGCGCAGTTAGCCGGAGTCGTCGGCCGCCGAGAGTGCGGCTTCCGCTCTTTTCTAATTCTAGCGATCTTTCGAATTCCTTCTACGACGCGCGTGCAATGTCGCTGAGGTTTTGTTTCATTCTTATTCCGTCTATGTGCGTTTCTATCATTCTTATTCCGTCTATGCGCGTTTTTGTATGGCTGCGAGAAGAATCGCTCTGACGTGCCAGCAACGAGTGTTCTAAACATTCTGCTTAGTATTGTCTCTGCGCAATGAGTGCCGATGTGTCAACAATGAGGCACGATAAAACACATACACGCATAGCTCAGCCAAACAAGCAGAAATATCCAAGAAGGACACCATGGTTATCTCACTCAGGCAAATAGGTCGCTTAACCTAATTAACATGCAAGTAAAAATTTCTAGTGAAACTATCGTGAAGTCGCTAATTTTTGGTCAGTACCTGACTCTATCCATTCCGATTAATGCATAAGCAAAAAATACAGGATTGTATTCAATATCAGAACCCCTCATATTGAAAAGCCCTAGAAAACAATGTTCAGAGTTAGAGAATACACAATGTTTAAAGTTAAAGTTACACACAGACATAGCGTACTGACATCATTTTAGGTCATATAAATAACAGACATATAAATATATGATTACATATTGGTTATGCATATTGGCAGGCCAATAACTAATTATATTAGAATTGAATAAAGCTTATCTAACTAAAATCCTGTGTCACCTATTCACAATTAGTGAAAATCACGAACTAAGCTGGTGAAACAATGTTGCTGAATACAGTTCTCACTAGAGGGCGACATGGCGCAGAGGTGGATAATGGATATATACTTACACGCTAATTCATCAAGAGCAGTCACAACCAACACCGACGCGTCCTTATCGTTCATCTTTCCTCTAACCTCGTGTATCTTGTCCTGCCATGTTTTGCCTGCAGGAGAAACACACAGACATCCACTACTGTCATGCATTCAAATCCAATCCGCAATAAACTCATCAAGAAATACGGTCACAACTAACATTCTACTCGTATCGAATAACTTCAATATTAACATCAAATTCAATATGAATCAAAACTAAGCATATAATCATGAACAAATCGCATGCCATTTCACAAATCTGCATATACCAATCACTCATTTAACGAAATGGCAAATAGTTTTTCGCAAGAACGCATTGCCATTATCGTCGTCAATAGGAAAGAGATTTTAACGAAATTTCACTTGAAGCATATTTTCTTTTGACAAAGGAACGCCCTTTGTCACACGAGGGTTTGGATCTAGCTACAACACCCTATAACATGAGTTTTTAGTACATCACCCAGGGTTCTCCCCACGTTGCGCAAACGGGGCGCGTGCGCCCCGTTTGGAAAAACTCCCCCCCCGTTTGAATCGTTGCGCCCCGTTTAAATTACCTCCGCCCCGTTTGGAAAATTCCACAACAATAAGTTTGACAGCGCCGGAATCGATCGTCAAGAAGTACTATTCGACCAGGACACACGGCGCATGTATTTTTACAGTACCACGCATGCACTGTAGCCAATACAACAGTCAACCTGTCCCTTACAGACTTACTGTACACCGACTCGGCTATATCTTATATATACAAGAACCCCAAATACCGTCTATGGTGTGGTGGCGATTTTACGCATTAATTAGTGTTACGGTAAAAAAACACGCCCCTTAGTTCCCCCCCCCTCCCCCTTCCCCTCCCCTTTCCCCTGTTTGAATTTCATCCTGGGGAGAACCCTGCGCTCCC